GAGTTTGTTTGCGTGAGAAGTTGTATAACACCTCTAGATTTGAGAGAATGTCCATGCGAATTTCGTTGAGGGCAACGAGACGATCGACAGATCCATCACCGTGTAGCCGATAGTCTTGCGAGTAGGGGGAAATCGGGTCTCGACCATAAACTAGAAACGCGGGGGAATGACCAGTAGCAGAATGAATGCTAGCTCGATAACCAAATAATGCAAATGATAACGCATCCTGAACACTAAGTTGCAGATTTTTCATTTGATAGAACTTGAATGTTTTGTTTAGGGTCTTGTGAAAAGCTTCAACCAAAGCATTTCCTTGAGGGCGATATGGGAGGGTGTGGACATGACTACATTGCAAATCTGTAGCCAAATTTTCTATAACTTCAGCAGTGAGCGATAAAGCATTGTCAGAAACCAAGCGCAAGGGAATTCCGAAACGACAGATCCAGTGGCTAAGTAAAATGGATGCTGTACCTGCGGCAGTCTTGTCCGGAACTATAGAGGCTTCTACCCATTTTGTAAATGAATCAATCATTGTTAACACGGTGAAGGTTTCACCACGAAATTTACAACTCCAATGATCGAAATGTAGTATAGCGAACGCTCCTTGAAGCGGATTGTGTCTTGTGAATGGTTTCCTAGTAGAGGGGAGGTCGCGCAATCGTTGGCAGGTGAGGCAATTAGACACAAAATTAGTGACACCCTGATGTAGATTTGGCCAATTGAAAATACGCAGAATTGTAGATTTGGTACGCTTGATACCTGGATGTATATACGGTGGAAGCAAATGATATTCGGATATGATTGTAGAACGTAATTCAAATGGAACGTACACTCCCCCTCGGTAGTAAACAACGTCGTCTACCACATGAATTCCCCGATTAATGGGTCTGGAACCACGACCTTGACATTCAAGGACTTTTTTAAGAGTCACCTGTAATTCGTTTTCTTGGGCGAGTTCGATCTTATAACACATGAAATCTTGTACCGGATCCGGGTCATATACGTGGCGAGAGAGGTAATCCGCTGTATAATTTTCAGACCCCTTCCGATACCGTATCCAACGGTTGTGTATTTATCGGCGTCCAACGGTTGTGCTAAAACAGCATCGACTACAAGTTCTTTAAGTCTGTCCAACGCATCTTCACATCGTGACGTCCATTTGATCGTGACTATCTTCTTCTTTCTATTAGGTGTACCTTTTAATAGATCGGTAATTGGTGACGCTATTTCAGAGTAGTCCGGAATAAAAGCTTGTAAGAATCCGGTCATGCCAAGGAGGGAACGAACTCCTTGTGTCGTGGTTGGGGCTTGAAGGCGTTGAATTGCTTCAATCTTCTTGGGATTAGGACGGATAGTTCCTTCCTCGATTATGTGACCCAGGTACAACAGCGTAGTTGGCAGGAATTGACATTTTTCCAAATTGATGGTATAACCAGCTCTCAACAGCCTCTCGAAAACTTCATCAACTAATTGGAGCAATTCCTGCAAAGTTGGGGCATGAATCAGTATATCATCCAAATAAACCAGAACTCCTGAATAACGTAAATCATCTAGTAAGAAATTCATGCTTCGTTGAAATGTGGCTGGCGCGTTTGTTAACCCGAAAGGCATGACCTTAAATTCATATGGACCAGTAGAAGTGCGAAACGCGGTGTATTGGATAGAACTATCCGCCATCGGTATTTGCCAGTATCCACTGCGTAAATCTAAAGCCACAAAAAACTTTGAATCCTTAAGGGAACGAATAAGTTCAAAAAGCTTCGGAAGTGGATATTTGTCGGTTATGGTAAACTTGTTTAAGGGACGGTAATCTATACACATACGCCAGTCTCCGGTTTTTTTTTAGAATCATGACAATCTCTGAAACATACGGGCTAGCAGAAGGACGGATTACTTCATCTGTAAGCATTTTGTTTACTTCTGTCAGTTGTAGTTAAGAGGATCTCATGCTTAATGGTAGCCACGACACCTCTCTTCTTATTCTTCCATAGATCAGTATATTTGAGCAATAATTGGGTCATTGCTCCTCGGGCTGAAATATCGAGGACATGTTGAAGAACATTCGATACGGTTTGATCCTCTTCGGAACATAACGCAAGCTTTTGAATTGTACGAACTGAAATTTTGGATGGTCCCTGGATTAGACGTATTACTCCATTATAGTTCGTGAATGATAGACGCTTGAAATTACAGGTGGCTGCTGGCTCTACCAGAAAAGGTAATCCTAAAATCAGTAGTGTAGAAGAAATGTTTTCAACCACTGCAAAGGTAGTAGGTATCTGAGATCCATTTCCCAATACTAAGAATGCTTGGATCCAGAAAAGCACAAGTGTAGTTGTTCCATTCACTCCTTGGAATCGAGTATAGGGGCTTGGTGTTAACTTATAGTTCATCTTCGCAGACAAAGCCTTGGATATTAGGTTGATCTGAGCACCGGAATCAATTATCCCGATAAACTCTTGGTTATTGTTCCAAAACGAAAGAAAGACAAGATTGCACGAGTATCGAATGGCTTTCGAGGGTAACATAATTGCACAAGCTCTGAGGGGTAACGAAGGAGGGATGGTAGCCTCAACTTCGAAAATAGATTCTTCGTAATTCAGTAAACTCTGTCGCCAAAATTTTCTTAAGGTCGTCGACAGAAAGGCTTGCTAGGGAAACAGCTGGAATATCCGGGGTAGTAGCTGGGGTATCAATGGGAGTAAATAGTGGGGATCGTGGGGCATCCATAACATGGTCCCTTTCGACTGAAAACGTCTCATCCTCCTTGTGTATTAAAGGATTAGGTGAGGTCACATATTCCATTCCGTCACCCGACGGTTTGCGAGTCGTAATGGAAGGGGGAAGATTCGTCTTGGCTTTCTCCAATATCTCTAGGGATTTAAATTTGTCGAATTGACTTCTGATTCCTCCTAAATCAACTTTTGGTCGATTAGAGATCTTCATAGAATTTTTACCAGAGACGTTTACAACAAATTGATCTTTTCGTGGAATTCCATTTTTAATAGTCGTTGATCCCCAGGGCAACCTCAAACAGTGGTGATTAGAATTCTCCACCGACAATTCACCACAGGTAGAACAGGTTACGAGTAGTTTGCCTGCAGCACGGGCTCTGGCTACATAAAGGGCGTGTTTTCGAGCATTATGATCTCTTGGACATTGTTCCGGGGTAGTTGAGCTTCCTCTTCTGTCAAAGTCCCTAAGGATTCATGATCAAAACTCCGGAATTTGTAAGTGGGGTTTCTCTTTGTCTTCCAAAGGCGGGCTAATCGGCAAAGGTCTGTCATGGCCAATTCTTGTTCTTCAGCGGTTAACAATTTAGCTGAAACTTTAGTCTGGCGAACTGCAGCGCGACGCTTCACTAATAGGTTATATAAGTCTTCTTCGGATAGCTCGAGACGTTCGGCGGTAGAGAATGGCAGAACGTCGTCGGGAGGGTTTGGGTTGGTTAAATTTGGTTGCGGTGGTAGAGAAATAGTAAACGTTTTGGGTGGGGTTGCGGTAGTAAGGTGATTCGTCATTGTTGCCGGTTCGGTATCAGTGGTCGAATTGGAGTCGCGGCTCGCATTAATGGTTGGAATATCTTTGCAGCTTTGATGTAACAATCTAATCGAACTAGAGTATTCAAAGCTTGATTGAGGTAATTAGTCAGCAGCTTGGAAATTTGTTCTAGTTGGCTTAAGTGTGTACCGAAAGGAGTTGCAACGATATTCGAGGTATCAATGGCACTCGGTATGGTAATCGTAGAAGGCGTAGGAGCGGGAGGAGGAAGGGTAGTGGTAGCGAGTGTATTAAGAATGCTCGTAAGAGCGAAAGTAATCGAAGTTAGGTTGTTGTTCATGACAGCAACAGACACGTCGGTAGTGGGTGGCATGCACGTAGGGGTAATGGTTGTGGTGGTAGGAAAGTTACCCAGGTTGTCCACCAATTTGGTATGTCGCTTATGGTAGAGCGAGTAGCAACATACCAAGAAAAATCTTGATGACCTCACGATAGGATGGTCGATGGGCTTCCGTAAGTAGAAGAGCCGGAAGAGACGACAGCTGGTTATTCATGACCTTAACGACATTGTAGATTTCGGGAAATGTAGGTGCAACGTAAGAGGATAATGATACCCCTAGAGAGTAAGCGAACAACGTAGTTGCTAGTGAGAAATATGTGGTCTTGAACAGTTTAGCCATCAGGATTCGGCGGTAGATCATTGCTACTGGTACGAGTAAACCAAACGTGTTATATCTTATCTCTCTGTTCTTTTTTAAAAAAAGTTTTTGCTTGTGTGCGAGTTGTGTGTGATAAGATGATCTCTTTTTGGAGTCTATGTATCCAGGCTTCCATTGCTTCTTCTTTTTTACGTGTCAATGTTTTGGCGTTTATACGACTTGCAATTAACTTGAATACTTCGTTCTGTACTCTTACATATTCCATAGTCATAATATCAAGACCGTTATTTCTAAGGCGCATTCGCTCCAGACATGATTGGGGATCGTCTTCTAACACAATTATCGTTTGCATTCGTTTCGGTATCTCCCACATTTCTTTAGGAAACTGGGCGATAAGATCTTCTGTTTGTTGCATGGACCTTCTTCCTTCAATGATCGAAAAAAATTAAGGAGTAGGTGAGCGCACTTAAAGGTCCTCTATCATGAATTGATCCTGCTTGTAATTTGGACGGTTGGAAAATGGCATATGTGATGTCGATGGCTCCACCGGTATTCTTGTCTTTGGAGACCGGATACAGTCGGACGTCTTCTGCAAAATCTCCAATCACTACCTTAGGGTATTGAAGACTTATT